TCAGAAGGCTAAAACTCCACAGCAGCAAACTACAGTGAAATACAGTGACAGCAGTTTTCTTAACTAGCAACAAGGAGGAAGATAATAAGCACTACGCTCAGCAATGGAGTCAGCGGGAGGCAACTCCAGAACAAATGCTGAAATTGCATTTTCTCACCCTCTAAAAGCACCTTTTATGTAACTAACAATTACTTAAGATAGGCATGCCTGTGAAGAATAGCACAGACTTGAACTTAAACATTATGGCATTCTAAATCAGCTAAACAAAAGACACAGCTGCAGAAGCTTTCATCTCCTGTACTTGTTTGCAATCCACCTTGAGACAGCTGCTCTTACTATTGCCAAACAGCTTTTCTCTACATCATCTTGGAAAGTTCAGTCCTCCAGGAAAATCACCTCCCTATTGATGTCTTCAGAGGCCTCACATGAGTGAAGATATGCAGAACAACAGACTAGTTAGTCTGGTCTAGAGAGAACCAGGCCTAATGACTTCTCCAACCTAAGCAGACTTTGGTTAATTAAAGATACTTCCTCTGAATCTCAGCCCTCCAAAGCAGAACTCATGGTAACTCAAGATGTTTGTGCAATGGCTGAGAAATGCAAGCTGGTCTGTGCTAGTGAAAACCACTGCACTTGGAAAGAACAGGCATGTGAATACTGCATTAGAAAGAACAGAGACTTCCATGATGTTTAGAAGTAGAAGATTATTCTGAAGTAAAAACTATAAAGCATTTTCTACAGAAAAATTTCCTTCCCCTCTAAATATTCAATTCTTGAAGATCATTTCAAACAATCCCTTCCTGCATTTCAGCTCAATGGCAAAATCTGATCTTGAGGACTGCTCACCACTTCCTCCTCTAAGTACCACTTAATGCAGAACTGGCCTTAGTAACAACACAAATCTCACTGAGAAATGCAAAAGCAAGGCAGATGCAGAAGAAAGTCCCCAGATTCACAATAAGTGTTCTGGAAGATAAGCAGAATTTTATCTAAATAAAGGAAACAAAACAAAGATGATGACAACCATTTCTAACAACTCAACACTCATCTGGAAGACACAACCAACTCCTTACCTTTTCTTGACATATGTTCAATGTGAGGTATTGGAAAGAAGTTAAATCTATCCTGTAGTGATTTTTTAGAATTACAGATAATTTGCCTAAATTTTAAATTTCATTTTTAGACTACCATTTGCTTTGTAGTTTTAATAATTTTTGAATGACTGTGAAAACATGAACAGCCTTAATTTAGTTTTTTGGAAGTCTGTGTGCAAGAAAAAAATAGCTCCTCCCACATGAATAAGAATTTCTACTACCTATAAGAATTTCTCTTACCTATGATATCAAGCTTAAAGTACAGAGACACAATTACCAGGCTGTTTATGGGAAGAGCAGTAAATCAGAAGTTTCTCTAACTTGAAGCACACAAAAGGCAGGTGACACTTTTATGGCAAACTAAGTCAAGCAGTGCCCGTCTGCTGAGACCTACAAATGATAACTGAAGCTTTATGCAGCAACCAAACGTTTCCCTAAACAAACCCCTTGTACCTTGTAGCTCAGACAAGCTATGTGAACATTTAAACAGACCTCTGGATTTAATAGCATCACTTTTTCAATTCTATTCTCTATGAGATTTGATTACAAATTAACAAAGAGCAGCAATTAAAGAAGTGACAATAAAATGCCTCAATCTATTTTTAGAGTAAGGCTAATTATTTACAATGAGCAGACGATTAGTCACTCATTACAAATATTTATTCTGTTTCCTTTAATTCTGTCAGATAAAGTTGTTTATCTGATAGATGCCTTAATGTAAATCTGAGAAGGTGGCTATTAAGGCCAGTTTTTAAACTGTGGGAAGCAAGAGTTACTCAAGATCAGATTTTGTCTCAGCTTCTTTTTCAGAAGGTACCAGAAATCAAAGCTGAAATGTTCAAATAATTATTTTCAAACAGTTCAACATGGGGGGGGCCTTTGAAAGCAATTTAAAGACTTTTACCTTTAGAACAAGCTCTACCCTTTAGTAATCTAAATTAGTCTTACAGTCTATACTAATTTTCTATTTTATTTTTAGTTATTTTTCCTTTAGGCCAGAAATTGGAAAAGCATTAAATCCTAATAAAGATACAAACATATAAAAAGATACTCTATATTATCTATATAAAAATATTTGTATTTCCTGCTTTTTTTAAAATTAAATTTTATATATGTAAAAATATGGATTATTTTGAGACGTGTTGCAACAGATTATGGTTTTGTCCTGCATGTTAACAATAGAATGGAAGAACATTTTCTATTTCCTGGTCTAAAATAATTTCATCAAAGCATTTTGATTAGTTTTGTCAATGTCCTTGAAACAAGCCGCTTAACTACATAATTATTTTACTTCTAAGACTGCAGAACCAAATTGATGAATCACAGAAACCAGCTATATATAAACTACTACTGCTCAAGAAACTCTAATGATGTTATCAACCACTTCTGAAGTACTGGATAAAATAAAAAAAGAAGGAGGGCAGAGAACAAATAATCTTTTCTTCATCTCAAGAGATGCTTCAGTAAGGAGGTACAGAGAGGAGTCACAAAGGAGAATGGGTTTAGTCTTGATTTAAGAAAAAAATACAGCATCACAGAGCCAAAGGATGAACTTAAATTATATTCACTCATTTTAGCATGAGCAAAATCTCACCAAAACTGCAGTCTCTGAATACCTTTGTGAAGTTATGCAAAGATGAATGCTGTGCCACTGCAGCACTCCTTTAAGGAGAAGTGACACCATAAAAGCAGAGTCTGCAGCTGCTCACAAGCTGCTCCTGAGTCATGAGATCTGGGAAAGGCAAGTCATATTGGCTCTGACATTTACTAAGGAATGAAATATCCATAGTTGGTTTTAAATTACGTTATTTGAGAGTGCTCCTGCACTTGAAGCAAGTGAAAAGAAATTCTGATTTCCTTCTTCAGACAGAAAATGGCTGAATCATTCACAAATACTTCTTACAGTATTTCTGTTCTTCTGAAGATAAAAGCAAAGCAGCACATGTCAAAGGCAATTAAGGGACAGAACAGTAAGGTGTTCCTAATAAGTAAATATTGTTCACTTAATAGTTCACTCTTCAGACATCATGTTATATTTGTTTTCCAAATAGTTAGTATTTGGAAATACTTTTAAAGTTCACATATTTTCTCATTTTGCATTAAGCCTCTGCAAAAGCATGAATGGCTGCTCATTTAATGACTTGTTTTAACATGCTGGAATTGTCTCAAAACAAGCATGTAACCCACGAGTTTTCATCTTCTCTGCAAGCAATGTCTGAATTCTTGGCCCTGCATATTGACCCATTAAATTTGCCATGTCAGGAGTTGGCAAGATAACAGGAAAGGGAATGATACTGCTCTGGGTATCAGAAGGTTATAATTTTTGGAAGGCAACATCATCCAGATTTGTTGATAAGATTATGGGAAATAATTTGATTTTCAACCTTGTCCACTTTCTACTTAAGGAAGTTACTGCCAAATCATGAGCCACAGCAAATCCCAATTCTTGTAAACACCTTCACATTGAGTAGTTTAATCTACTTCAGTGGAGTAGAGAACCACTTAGTACAGAGAAAATATTATCAGCATAGAGAAACAGCTTTTTGGGCTATTCTCCTGGATAGGCTTTTGACAGACACAAGTTTAACTCCCTGTCTCTTGGCAAACTCAGTTTAAATGGAATGTTTCTTCTTTTTTTTTAGGAATACTTCCTTTATGGGAGACATCATCACTGACACCTTCAGTCTCACATTCCTGCTGCTCTACCCCCTTGCTAGCAGGGACAAGGTGTTACACCACAAAGACCCACTTGCAGCACACCAAGAACAAGCACTGTAACCAAGTCCTTTCTGCAACTGATACTGGCACCTATTTATCAGTCTGCCTTGCTATTCTGCAAAACAAGGTACCACTTCTGCAGAACCACATTACAAAATGTACAGAATCAGTCATCTAACCAGTGCTGTGCTAACTGATGGGATGCATGTCTGCAGTTCTCATTTCCCTGCTCCCCTGCCCTTCTTTGCTGTTACACCCTGAGATACACATGAGCCAACAAATGGCTGATGAGAGATAAGCAGAACTAAAAGCAAATGATGTAAAAACCAAATAAATGACTGCAACTCCACTGCCACAGATTTACTTGTATTTCTTAATGTGTACCTTTGAAAGTATCACACATTTCAAAATCTTTAAGAGAAATGCTGCAACATCACAGAATGTCAGTCAAGTATGCAAACACATCCAGTGCTAGACCAGCAGACAGTTCAGTTCAAGCCATTTCGTGCCAAGGAGTAAAGAATGAAATCAGTAGTCAGAGGTCAGCTCCATTACAGCAGTCCCAACCCACAAAAGAAATTACTCCCATTTCATAGATTAACTTGCAAAGTATTAGAGCAGCAATGAAAGCAAGCACTGTGGTTAAAGGAGAGATTTAAAAAGAAAACAACCAAAAACCAAACAACAAACAGGCACTGGAAAAACAAACAGATTTTGTCAGTTTTCTGCATTTTCCAAATATGCTTCCAGGTTATTTTAGGAGGCTTCTTTCAGCTCCAACCCTCCCAGCTGGCAGGTAGAAAGGATATAAAGTTTGCCGATTCTGGTAACAAAGGAAAAGAGCTGCAGTTGTACTGCATGCTTACAAAGCACTGACAAAGAAAGTCCCTGAATTCAGGCACAGCACCCTAGCAAGCACCCCAGACTCACAAGGGTGAGGATAAAGCAAGAGGGAGGCAGGCACTTCGGCACCATGCCACTTGAGCAGAGCCTTCCCCCACCTCTGCTCTGTGCTGCTTGCCTGTCCAGCCTCTGGCTTAGCACACAGAGGGTACTCAGCATAGCTCAGTGCTACACTCTACTACAAAACCTGGCTCTACTGTTTCCCATGAATTCTAAAATTACTGTTTTATTGTTTAGCATAGAGTTAAAATACTGGGTCACAAAGAATTGCAAGCAGCATTTTACCTGTATAGGTGGCTCAATCATTATCCACGCAGGAAGCATCAAACTTGGGTTAAGAGGTTGAGTTCCTACACGGAAATAAATGCCACCATTGGTGTCACAGGCCCAAACATGCTGATTTCCACAGGTCAAGCTGATCAGCTTTACACCACCTAATAACAAAGAGATTATTAGCAACCTGGCATTTTCCTTTCAAATTCAGCTAATAATCACAACTTGTATTTAGACTTCATTGTATTAAGCAAGCTCAAGTCACATAAAAATGATTAGAAGTTAATACAACTTGTGGGAGAATAAAAAAAATTGCTGGATACAATGAACAAAACCAACAGGTAGTACATATGTGAGAAATATCTCCTAAACCTAAAAATAAATGTTTTAGACATAGGAGAGTGCAATTTCTAAAGCACATTATAAATACTCTATTACAATAACCAAATTCAAGCAGGGAACCATTCCATGACAAATGTTATCAGTGCCTAGACAAACTTTCACATGACCTAATGTGAACTCTTCTCTGTAGCTGGCCATGCTTGGAGACTTTTAAAGGTGTCAATCTGATAATACAGGCAGCAAAGAACATTCCTAACACCACCAGCATTTCAAAAATACGAGAGCATATGGGTTATGCATTTCACTGTTAACATACCAGTGTCACATCTGTAAATAAATGAACTGATTTTCAAATGGATTTATATTCACCACTGTACATATTTATTACACCAATCTCAAATGTGCAGCAGTAATTTAACCCTGTCAGCACCATCAAAACAAAGCTGCCAAGTAAGTGTGTGTTGCAATTTTGACATGACTTGTGTTTGGGTTTAGTCTAAATTCCTGCAAAGACAGTAGAGATGCAAACCTGGTATTTTGGACAAAAAAGAACTGCTAGTTAACTGTCTACTGAAACTCTTAACTCTTTCAAATTAATTTTAAAATAGCCACATGATATAATGTATCTAACATTTGATTTCCTTTTTTCACCCCATGGTGGACAAAACGAAGCTAAGTAATGGAAAACAAGTTCCAAAGAAAGTGGGACCCAAGCAGTACAGATCCACTACAGAAGGAATGCTCTGGTCAGACTCCAAACTAAAGACTCTAAAAATAGGCCTTGCTGGTTAACTGAACATGCCAGGGCTGCTTGGGATATCCCATTCTTGGTAACAGTTCTGTGTTCAGGGATGTGAAATTTGGCAACAAATCCTTGTAAAGTGCATCAGACACAGAATTCCTTAAAGAGGGGCTTGGAATTTTATCCCACACAGTATAAGTTCAAAGTATTTATTTCTGCAGAACGTAATATTCCCAATTGTTAGGGAGTGCTGGGGAAAAGAACAGGACAACACAGCTTTATCTTTTAATTATCTGTAGTAAACAGATCTCATTAACCAAAATTATTTAATTTTCTGAATCGCAAGAATAGAAATCAATCCATCTCATCCCAGAATTTCCTTTAACCAGAAAGCTTCATATAAAAACCAAAATGACAGACAAAAACTTCAACTGCTTGGGATGAGAACATCTATAGCAACTTTCTTTTGAGAGCAGAGGCTTGACTTTGAGCTGCAAAGCCAAAACCTTACTTAAAACCTTGTTATTCCTTCTAATAAAGTATGCCTCAAAGCAATAGCTTTGTCACATGCTACCTCAGCTGTCCAAGTGTTCTGATCCAGACAAGCATCAGGCACTCAAACATGGAATCACATATCACCTACCCAGCATAGCTGGTATTATTTACGTCTACAGTACAATTTGATATTCAAAAACACAGCCCTTATGTAAATGTTTTGGGGCTTCTCCCTCCTCCCACCTACCAGTTGTATCTTAGGACAAGGTCATGTTAACCAAATTCACCAACTGTTTTAGAGCAAGTACCATGAACCAGCAGCATTGTTTATTGTTAAAACCTAAAGGTCATTCTACTGTGTTTAGAAACCTTGATGGTGATAGTGGAATGCTAATCAAAATAATCTACTGGGTGCTACTCCCTGTACATAATGTAAAAGGCAAGATACTACCAACATGATAAGAATATTTCAACCTTAATGCTGGTAAACTCCATACTTCCATAGAAAATTCTGAACTGCACTTTACAGAAAGTTGCTCCCACCCTGCCTGCCCTCCACAGTCACAGTCCTAATGTTTCTGGAGTAAACTTAAACAAACACTTGACACAATAACAACAACTCTCCAATTTCTTCAGCCCCATTAGAACAAATAAAGGCTTTTCTATTAAAGCCATGAATATGCACTTGTCAAGCAGTGATGTACCACATGCAATTAAATGGAGAAAAAATGCCTAAAATATTTTCACATTTCACTACTAACCCACAGTGACAGGTACAGTGCAGTGTTTGAATATTTCCTAACCCCAAACCTCTTCTATGCCACCACCATGTGCCAGAGCTGACAGGAACAGCTGAATGTAAAGGTTGAATTTCTGAACTGCTGAGTTCACAGGCCAGGTATTACAATCAGCTAACACAAATTACACTGATTTCCTGTATGAATTCTTTTGAGATTTTCAGACAATGTCCAGAAGTTACTTATTTTTTCAGTTCAACAGTTACTGTGTCAACTGCTGGAAAGCAGTGGTTCATTAGAGAAGTTTCAAACCACACTAAGGAACATGAGAAGGACAAAGGGACCAAATCTATCCTGTAGGTCAGTAAAAGGCACCAGTGTTTAAATATTTCCTAATCCCAAACCTCTTCTATGCCACCATGTGCCAGAGCTGACAGGAACAGCTGAATGTAAAGGTTGAATTTCTGAACTGCTGAGTTCACAGGCCAGGTATTACAATCAGCTAATACAAATTACACTGTTTTCTTGTATGAATTCTTTTGAGATTTTCAGACATGTCCAGAAGTTACTTATTTTTTCAGTTCAACAGTTACTGTGTCAACTGCTGGAAAGCAGTGGTTCATTAGAGAAGTTTCAAACCACACTAAGGAACATGAGAAGGACAAAGGGGCCAAATCTATCCTGTAGGTCAGTAAAAGTAAAAGGCACCAGTGTTTAAACTATAGTATGATGAGTGATTTGGAACCAATTCATCAGGTCACCAAATCTATCCTGTAGGTCAGTAAAAGGCACCAGTGTTTAAACTATAGTATGATGAGTGATTTGGAACCCATTCATCAGGTCTGAAAAATAACTGGTGTACCACTGAAAAACTAGTTAATTTTAAAAGATACGGTTTATAATTTTTCCATTAAATATTCTAAACTATACACTAAAATTGTACATGAGGCTTAAACGCTGCCAGCTGTGTCTGCCTTTCCTTAAACTTTAAGTTAAAATTGCTTGTCTCTTATCAGACCAGTGATGAACATTGCCATCAAAAATGGAAAAATTGCTAACCAGTTGAATTATTTTTAAAATGGTGAGAGAATAGTGCATAGTCTCAATTTCCTTTCTCTTCACCTGAAACTGGTGTGCAGATTAGCACAAATGTAAGAATGTTCTAACAGTCAGACTATTAAACAAATAAATCTGATGAGAATACTACTCATGAAGGTGGCAAATAACCTGATTACCTCCAGAGCCAAACTCCAAACTGTGACTACATTTCAATGATCAAATCATGATCAAGCACCTAAGCAGATGAAAAGAGCAGTTAACCAATTCTAAGCATTATGCTGAATGATTACATCACTATAAATCTGAACATGAGTGTTATCAGCTGCAGCACTCATGAATGATTCAACTCTTGGAGCATAATTCTTCCTTGGCAGGAGCTAAAAATGTTTAACCATAAAATTCAGACATTTGTGCCCTAATCAGGTGACTATGGATGCACTGGGGTACAAGAGCCAGCCTAGTTAAAGCTGCTGGAGCCCCTGCACAGCACCATGTCAGGCCAAGCCACTTCAGAGTGACCAGCTGCAAGATGCACTGAACACACACCAAGTACCTTGCAAACAGGAATCTTCTTGTCTCCAGGAAAAGGCTGAACAGAAAATTCTTTGAAAGCCACATCTGTTCCTCATATTTTACAATCACTGCCAATAGGTACTATTTAATCCAGTAAATGTTATATTCTGCATCAGTAAACTCAAAGATATTTCTGGAAAATATGGTGTGCTAAGAGACAGTTGACTCAATAAAAGTGTCATACCTAGTTGGGAGAGATCCAGTTTTGTCCAATGCATCCCTGTTGGGCAGCTGGAGGAAAGTGTTCTGATAAATATCTGCCCAAGACTATCCAAGCCCCAGATGGCATCCTGGCAGGCAGAGTAGTGCACCATTTCAGCCTCTGGTGGCAGCTGCACCGTAGAAGGACGAAAATGAGGATTCTGATCACTGACACAAAACAGATCCTTGTTGCTTTGGCACAGCCACAAAAAGCTTCCTATGGAAAGGACATGTCTGTTATTAAAATAATTCCTAATCCACTCTGAGAAAGCTTACACATCTACTTTTTCTGAAAAAAATATCAGTACATTTGAAGGCAAAACTAAAGCTTCTTGGCTATGCTCATAGGGTAAAGCTTTGAAGTACAAATACACAACCTAAGCTCTTATTTAGGCACTTAAATACTCCATTTCTCAAATAAAGGAAGTAGTAAGTGATCTCATTTGAAGAAATGTTTCATTTGAAGGAACTAATAGAGAGAAGACACATGTAACAATGCACTATCACCTCTCTTTATTCTTTTTGCTCTTTTATATCCTTGATAATAGCCTTTGAAAAGCAGCATTCTTTTACAGCTCTAAACCACATTTTTGCCACTAAAGCCAGTGTACTCAGATAATGCAGTTGCTAACTACTGTAACCAGCAGTTCAATTCCCTGACAGGGTCTCACTTTTACAAATAATGGGCAATTTTGCTGCAGTGACTGCACTGACAGGAGAAGCACTTGGTTACTACAAGCATTTCAGCAAAGCATTCTCTGCAACTTCCAATTACAAATTCTGGCAATTCATGCTTTGGCAGTTTAGGAAGTTGCTGCTCTTGAGGACCACCCATTTCTCTGCTGGATGCCACTCCACACCAAAGGGGAGAGTGAATAATATGTTATTTTAATCTCCAGTAGTTTTACAGATATACTTCCACCCTGCTTCAACTACTTTAGAAAAGACAACCAAAATCTGAAGTAATTCAGGATATTTAATTACTTACACCATCAATTCCACTCTGTTTAAAAATCAGATATTATACACCTGATTTACCAACCTACTTCAACTACTTTAGATCCCTGCAAACAGAAAAGACAACCAAAATCTGAAGTAATTCAGGATATTTAATTACTTACACCATCAATTCCACTCTGTTTAAAAATCAGATATTATACACCTGATTTACCAACCTTCTTTAGATGAAGCTGGGGAAGCCAACACAAAAATCCATTTTGTGGCAGAAGCAGTACCACGAGGCACAATATTATTCCAGTATGTGCCTTGAAAGAAAGAACAAGTGGCATTAATAGGAAACACAGTTTTCTGTTAAAATTTGTTATATCAAATTTAGAATAAATTCTATTGTAATCAATTCTTAAATATATTTTAGACAAGATTTTCTATTAAAATCTTTCAAGATAGTGTTAGGGGGGAGGGGGAAGCCTCCTCCCAACACCTATGTAAACACAGAGAGAAAACTGTGAATGCAGAAGAGGATAAAGAAGAATATTAATGGTCTGCAGCAGGGGACCAATTTGGTAATAAGGTATGCTAGATGTACTGTTAGAGTTTATGTAAACAAAGAAATATACCAAATAAGTATCCTATTTTGAGAACTGTAGCAAGAAAAATAAAGTAATCCCTCTATTAGCACTATAAAACCATAACACTGGTGTCTTGCACAGTCACACTGATCATGAGCCAGACTCCACTGTGCAAGATAAAATAGCTTCAGCAGCTTAAGATTGCATTATCCCAGAGAAGAGACAAATGCAGCTGTTAAAAGCAGTAACTTGTGCACAGTCCACTGGTTGACAATGATTTTTCCATGAAAAATATTTCCCTTTAAATGAGCAAGTATTTAAGACCAAATGCTAATGAATAATTTAACTTAATTTTTAAACAAGTTAAAGCTGCCCTGACTTGCCATGTGTAATTTCTGTGGTGACAGAGTTGTAATTAGGTATTTCCTTCTATTTAATATTCGTAACTTAAAGAAATAAAGATGCAAAAGTACACCAACCTACTAAGTTTCCCTTTGCTACATGGAACTCATTTTTGCCTGAAGAGATCCAGACCCCACTGCCATTGACCCCGAGGAGGCTGGGCTGACACTGAAGCTGCTGTGACCAAAATGCCATTCGAAGCTTGTCAGCCACCTTCTCCACAGGCGCCTGAGCTGCTGTTGCCACCGTGTGAGTTGCCTGGATTATGGTCTGGAACAGGCTGCACTGGTCAAACACTACATAATCAGTGATGCTTACCTGGGGGAAAAAGAAAAAAAAAGTACTCTTCATAATTAGTTAAGCTCTGGGGTGAACTGCACAATCTTTCCCCAGAAGCTTTTTTAGAATTCAAAGTGTAGGAAGGGAAAAATAAAAATGGTACATTTTGAGTGATTATCTTGCTAATAAGTCACAATCAGTATTAAACACCAGCTTACAACTCCTTTCTATCCAACAATCCATTTAGAAATCTGCATTTTAAGATAGGCCTTTGTTTTAGGATGTGTCCCTCTAAAAATATGCCAAACTCTGCAAACTAAGAGGTAAATTTTCAATTTCCAAAAGGAAACTTGTACAGTGCAGCAATTCAAACCACATGACAAAAACTTGAACACAATACTCCTTTGCAACTACCTCATGGACATTTTCATTCACAGTGCAAAAGGAGGTCTAAATAGGTAATTGCCCAAGTACTGTCATGGACAGCTAGGTTGGCAACACTCTGGGATACTCCTAGAAAAGAATGACATTTCTAAGAGCACAAAAAGAGCAGCAGCTTGCCAATAACCTCAAAGCCAAGCTACTCATGATGTCCACATGCACAAAGGGATTATACATGCACATAGACCAAAATTCTTGTAACTAAGGTAGCATGTAGACAAATTTTCTGTAAGACTGTTGTTGTACTCCCTTCTTCCCCACCCCTGTCTCTGGAGAAAACAAGAAAAGCTGGAGAAACCAGAGGCAGGAATTCCAAATCAATGCCAGACAATAACTGCAGTAACCAAGCTGGTTTCACCCACATGAACTGTGGCTGAAGCAAGCTGCTCCACATGGCTCAAAGAAACCTCAACTGAACGGAAAAATGTGGAACACATTCTTTTGCATGGTGACTTATTATTTATTTTCTCCATCTAAGGAAAAGGATGGGCCCTAAAAGACAAGGGAAGAGGCTGCATTCAGCAGCCAGACTTGATGCTCTGCCTCAACAGCACATCCTATGACCTGGCAGAGCATTTCTTGGGTTCTTGAAAGCTTCTGCAATGCTGCTCTAAATGACCACAGGATGGTTTTCCTTCCCTCTTTACAGCAGACACAGAAAGGGGATTTCAGCCATAGCCACACAAAAGTTTAAATATACTGAATAAAGTGTACTATTAATAGAATTTTTTTCTTAGAATTTTGTGGGAAAACAACACAAATAATCAACCCAAAGTAAAAGACTAAACTGAAAGCAAAAATTAAAAAATGCCTACTTGCCACCAATGGTTATCATCTCCTTGTGGTTTCTTTGAAACTATACCAGTCCTGAACCAGAGATTGCCATGGATATCCAAAGCCCATAACGTCTGCTGATCACCAAGGGTTATGCACACTGGTTCCAAAGCTTGCATTTCACTGGAAATGCAAACAATATTTTTAATAACAATATTAAAAACCTTAATTCAAATTTATGTTAATGGTATTTTAAGGAAGCTGTTACAATGTTAATAGTTTAACACGGTTGAAACTCAGTGGAGCCAAGCTAAAAAAACACATTTGACATTAAATTTTCAGTTATTCAGTACTTTATATTTTGTTTAAGTAAAAAACATTCAACAACAACAACAACTACAATAAAAACAATTCCTTCAAAGATCACTCAAGATTGGAAACTTGGATATATAACAGTAAAACTAAACAAGCCCTATTTTATTCAGTAAATAAATAATCAAGAGCTGTGCTCTTTAAGGTTTTGATAAAATAGCTTCATAAATCTATCTCCTCAACTTCCCTGACCTACTCTCAGAACAATACCTGCAGTTCAGGGACCACAAAGAGAAAACTCAACCTAACTATGTGACAGAGATAAATGCTGAATTTAGGACTGTAAGTTTCCTGCGTAAGTAAATGATTTTCAAGCTCAGAAAGTCAACAGGGTCAGGTGATCATATCAGACACTGAAAAGGTAGCAAACAATGCTAGTTCTTTCAGATAACCTTTCCTGACAGTTTAAGAACAAATAGTGACTGCCTTCTGCAATTTTAACACAAAGCTCAAGAACAAGAAATGTACCTAAGGTGTAGGTCAGCAGGTATTTTCATTAAACAAACTCATTAGAGTATGAGCAAATTTCACATTTGAACAAAGACACAGTAGTTTCTCAGACTGTTCAAGAGCCAAATACCAGGCTGGAAGGTAGCACAGGTTAAGGTTTCACAATAGGATATTCAGTAGATAAAATCTCTTGACAACAAGAATTTGAATTTCTTCCTAAATTTGTGCCAGGCTGATGTCACAAGAGACACTAAATTCTACATTCTCAAAGCCAGCAGTAGAGATTCAGTGCTTTTAACTTTATCACAGAGGAATTACTGTGGGCATAGGATCAACTACAAAGCTGAATACCAACGACACAAAGGACTTATAAAAATCTGTGGCTGGGGAGTGCAGAAGTGTTATCCAGCTGTATGACCAATAAAATGCATACATTTCATCTCAGGTGTAAAAAAAAAAAGAAAAAAAACCCCACCTCTCATAAAACTGGTGAGTTCCTTAAAACCATTATGCCACAGATTAAAGAAGCAATATTTAGTAGAAAATCACGTTGACAGACATTATAAAGATATTTTAAATTTTTTTCTTTAAATCTGCTTGTGTTTATGACAATTTCTTTCATTACATAGCAGTCATGGATGGATGGATGGCTGGCAGGAAGGAAGGAAGTACAGACAGAGAGCTATAACAGATATATCCGCACAAGAGCAGTATACAGACACAGGAGCTCAGGTAATACTTTCTCAAACTTCAAGGAGCTACAGCACAATTTTCTGTGTCATTCTGGTTATGCCCAGCAGAGTCATTACCTGACAATGTCACTCTTCCACTGCTCTCCCTCGGGACAGAAGCTGCGCACTCCCTCGCGGTAGAGCAGGGCCCGCTGCTCGCTCAGAGCCCACACCACATTATTCCTGGATGTGACCTGTGACAGTGGATAAGGGCAGTCAACCTTTACTGCTCGGGCACAAGGACGGTCCACACTCAGGCCTAGAAATGAGAAAATGAGGATTGCTTTACAAACTTTGGCTTTTTGCAAGAAAAAGGAAAGAGATAAAGCAAGTCAATAAAAGAAAATGCAGAAGGGAATCTCCTTGATATGCTGACATTTGTCATTTGATCACAATTTCCTTGAGTGACTGTTCTTTCTGTAAACTACTAATAATTTTCTCTAATATAGCTGATGTTACATTTTAAAAAATAAGACACTGTACATCCTTCAACGTCCTGCACAGTGAATGTCCTGTCCTGTCATTTCTGTTCCTCTTCTCCCTCTAGTGTCAGCACCAGGAATCTCCATTTATAAAACCTCTATTAGAGCTGACAGAAGCATCAAAGAAAAAGCCAGGAATGGAAGAACTTCTGCCCAGAACATGCCAGGGAGAGAAGCAACCTGATCTGAGTAGTGACAGCAGAGCAATTACAAAAGAGCATGGCACAGTGTGTAGTACTGAAAGGAGCAGAGAGGTTCTGGTAGATTTACAGGCAGTTTGCACACATTTCTACATCTAATCTACAGGAACATGTCTTCTTTATGATTACACTGAAGCCTGATTTACACATGTGAAACTGCATGTGAAACATCTCAGGAGACACAGCTTTTGTTTCATCTCCTCATGCTGCCAAAACCAGTATGAACAGACTCATGTCTATAATATATTCTAGACTAACAAGAACACTCATTTCTAAACCTCTGAGCACACACTTTTGTTATAAATGTTACACAAGACAGTGAAGGGAATGAAAAGATCCTGAAGAAACAATTTTCACTTCTGCCTCTCATTAGAAAGACTGATATTCTGAGAATTTATTTTTTGCATCACAAGACAAATTTGGAAGCCTAAGAACAGCAGAATGTAAGCTGATGTAATCAAACCAATCTCTCAAAGGGAAGAAAAATATTGATTCAAACCTCCACAGAGCCCTGGATGATTAGCATCCAAAATTTACTCTCCATCACCACTATCCATGCCTGTTGGCATGTGACCATGGACAAGCCATTTGATTTTTCTAGGACTACTACACTTAATTTAAAAAAATTAATTTTAATACAGTGTCTTTGAAACATTGATTTGTACTTAAAACAGTTTTCTTAATCACAAAAATTTTTGCATTGTGCTACAGTAAGTAAACCTAAAAGAGAAATTACGACAGTGCCAAAATTAAATGAAAGGTAAATAAGAATTCTGATAGAATTTTTGCATTGTGCTATAGTAAGTAAACCTACGACAGTGCCAAAATTAAATGAAAGGTAAATAAGAATTTTGATAGCCACTCAGACATGGTGTCCTGTCTGTATATGTCTAATACAGTTTGCCCTTGACCCAGTCCTCCTCTTGATTCACCAGTATTTCTTTCATCATGTTATTGGTGATTTTTCCTTAGTAACTCTGTGCAAGCCTCACATGCCTCAGAGTCCTTGGTACTTTTCTCCCTTAACTCTAAAACTAGTACTAACATCCTTCATCCTAGCTGCTTGCATTTAGCCTGAATATTTTTGCATAAGACCTTCCAAATACATCCTCTTCTATTCACTGAAGAACTTAAAACTAAGGCCACGACTTCAAAGTTGCCACTACACACTACCCCTTTTTCCAATTTGTGCCTCACTGACATCCAGGAAGAATGCAGCTGCAGATTCCTGCTCCACAGCCCATTCTGATCCCCCATGGCTTTGCTTTCTCTATCATATAAAACACATACCACTTGTCTATATTCCAAAGCACTTCACCATCTTCTGTCTCAGAATACCTTCCTGTCATTATCAAGTGGTCACTCTTACCTTCTAGAGATCTGTGCTTTTCAAACCTTCTACTTTTCCCTATTCTGCCCACTTAAGGCAGAGTTGTTTCAGTGCACCATACCATTTTCAAAGCAAGGATATTATTTTGATATTTTCTAAAATCCTTTCCATTTATCTCCATCCATCTTGTATCTACCCCATGCCATAAATTCTCTGTACTGTATGTACTCAATGTGGCACACACAAAACAAGTGGCCATGAACTAACTGGCTTTTCCACTCTCCTCATTACACAAAATCTCACAACTGTTTCCAAGTGTTTCTCAAGATACAAAGGTTTCATTATGTTCTGGCTGTGGATAAAAGTTTGTAGCAAATTGCAATCATCCTATAGACTTGAAATCTAATAATCTCAGCCCACAAAAATTCAAAGAGCCTGCAATTAATTCAGGTACCTGTTTGCAGATACAGATCTCCATTTGTTCTGATAATCCAGGCAGTGTCATCACTTAGAGCTACAAATACAGCCTGGGGTAAGGCCTCATACCAGTGCCGTTTTCCTTTTATAGTTACTTTTCCACAAGCAAAAGCTTTGTTAGTCTTCTGTTCAATCTTCCAGAGAAGAGCCCCTGTAGGAGAAGCAAAGAAAGAACATAATAGCACTCAGCCATTACTGCAACAATTACAGGTGATGTGTCCTAGCTACACCTAAACTAACAGGAGGGGGAAAGCAAATCAATAGCATTAAACAAAAATGCAAGTTTAAAAAGTCCTTATAATTTCTTTAAAAAGCAAGACCAGAACAGTAACTGACTTCTAATACCGAATAATATCTTAAAAAAAGAAAACCAAATGGGACTCCAAACTTAACTGCTGGCTTGTACCTCGAATAGCTTAAAAAAAGAAAACCAAATGGGACTCCAAACTTAACTGCTGGCTTGTACCAGAACGGTACATTGTCATATTAATTTCCTTTAAATGATTCCACAAAGTTGCATTTAATTCCATTTTGACATGTTGTGGTTAACATGCTCCTGCATTAACACATCCATGGCAAACTGTGGATGCTAGAAACTTGCACAGATTCAGTGAAAAGCTGGGTGAATTCCTAGAACTGAAGGATAAGAGATGCAGAGGAACAACCTTTTTGCCCAGGCAATTTGAGCCACCAACAACTGCAGCCTGAACCTACCAAGGGCAAATATGACACATGCCCATGCCTTTCACTTTTCTGCAGAGACCCTGCTGGACCACTTTTAAGGGTAAGATACTGAGCTGGATGAACCCACATTCTCACCTACTACAAGTACTCTCAAATTGTTTTGGCTATAGCAAAGCTCAGCTACATATCAAACAGAATTTCTTTCTTCTTAAAACAGATAGCAAGTCCTCCCCTACAGACAGAAGGAAAGACTGACATGTGCTTTTAGAGATGACAGGGAAGAAAAGTAGTGTCAAGGCAGGAGACAAAGAAATTAAAATGGCTGAGAAACTTTGTATTTTCACTCCAGTCCTGGAACAATCTGGAAGGCCAAAAGTGACGCAAGTTTATAACCAAAACCTGCTTAATTTTAATCCTACATAATCCTCATTCACAACCATCCAGAACAAATGCATATGCAAATGTACTAAAACTTCAAAGTTTTTTTCTTCAGTATTTCAAAAGAAATCAAATCAACCAACCCACGCATACAGAAAGCCAGTTCTACACTTACAAGAAAAAGAACTTTAAAATTGTGAATCACTGAATGGTTTGGGTGGGAAGGGATCTTAAAGATCATCTAGTTCCAACCCCCCTGCCAGGGCAGAGACACCTCTCACTTGACCAGATTGCTGAAGGCCTCATCCAGCCTGGCCTTGAACACTTCCAGGGATGGGGCATCCACAGTTTCTCTGGGCAACCTCTTCCTGTGCCTCACCACCCTCACAGCCAAGAACTTCTATAGCTCTGTAACAAAAATCAAGGTTTTGTATAGACAAAGAGCTCTTCTCTGCCTACCACTAAACTGCTACTTCTGAAGTTCACTTTAATCAGGCAAATAAATGCATGTTGAAAACCTCCCAAAATGCAATGTGAACCTGCTGGAAAGACAGTCACTTAAACTAGAATATGAAATGCAGAGGCAGATGATAGTCTACCTACTATGATGCAGTCATATAACTGTGACGATTTAAAAAAAAAACCCAAAAAGAAATACAAACCAACACAATACTTTTACATTAAACAAGCAAGTTTCTGGAAGTAATTGATTTGAAAACAAACAAACAAACAATAAACTGCCTATGTGGAAATTACATATGTACTCAACTATATATGTAATCTCATAAAGATGACAAATGACACCTAATTAAATAATAACAGATACTAAAAAAAAAAAAAAACCACAAAAAAACCCAAACAAAAAACCCCCCAAAAAAATAAAATGTCCAACTCTATCCAAGTTTTATATTTACAAGACAACAGTGCAGCAGAAGCCAACCTACCTGAGGGGGAAACTGCCACTTGCTGGACTCCATCCTCAAACTTCTGCCAGCGCAGGCCGGCGGCAGGAAGGGCGCTGCAGTACAGGCTGCCTCGGTAGTCCAGGCACCAAATGTATTTTTCTGAGACAACCAGGCTCAGGATGCCATATCCAGGGCCAGAGTAACCCATCCAGCTCTCTGCAAACTAAAAACTGTAGAGTCAGAACAGTGTCAGGTTGTCTTCAAACTGCGTAAGAAAATGAGTATATAAGAAGAGCAGCTCCCACGGTTTGATTTTAAAGAAGCTAAACTGAAGTACTTTAATCAATGAATAAATTTGCCTCGTGTAAAACAAAGCTACATCTGTCACTGTTCTCTAAGGCTGTACGTGCACAAAGAGACTGCTCCAACAACAGATTTAGCAAAAAAATAAACCCCTCCACCCCATCATCCACCTCCAAAGAAGGAATATATAACAATATACAGTCTGTTTGTAGTCTAGGAAATTATTCATTGTCTAGGAAGTGATGAGCAAAGGGAACAAGACAGCTGAAGGGCAGAGACAGCTGAATATCCAACTCCAGTACTCTCTGTATGGTAGCAGAGCCATGGCTTGCAGAAATCTGGTTTACGCTCTCTTAAATATTGATTGCTTGCATGAGGTCAAGCACTGCATACATTACCAGGGGAGGTTTCTAACATGACAGAGTGTAAGAATACCACAACCTGAAACAAAAATCTTCTGCACTTTGGGCTGCAGTTGTCAGTAGATAGGACACCATCAACTTATAACTCCACCTTTATGAATTAATATTTAGTTGATCTCAATACAGCGTGTTACAGATCTAAAAGAAACAATATCCCCACCCTACAAGAACTGCATTTCCTTCTTAAGACTTCTGATAAAAGTTCCAGTGATTCTGGCAATTTTGCAGACTTTACAATTAACTTTAGTACTTCTTTTCTGTAGTATCTATGAGGATTACCCACAAAATAACTATGAAGGAAAGAGGGATAACAGAAGAAGGAAAACTGTCAACATTTTAAACAGTACTAACTACTGCTGGCTAGGGGGCAAAGACTAATCCTTACTCTGAGTATTTAGAGGTAAAGTAATCCTTAAGCAGAAGCCAGCCGTGTGAGATAATTAGCATTAATTCTTCATGAAGTCAGCTGAATTTGGGAACAGCATCATGCAGAATTTGGACTACTGGAGATCCAAACAAGCAGCAGCCTTTGAGTGTGACTGGGTTTTACTGTTCACTCTTTAATGGATGGGTTTCTAACAGCATTTTTGTTGAGCTGGGAATAATACAGCCAGAACAGCTTCTTTGCATTGCAAGCACACATCACCCATTTTGAAGTCAGATACCCACACCATATTTTTTAAGAGTTACAACACACACTGTTGTTTGGCTTTATACTTTACTTGCATATTGAATCAAGCAAAAAAAAAAATTGCTGTCCTAAAGATGCAAAGGACAGTAATTGCAGGAATCTTTATTTTGAAAAGCTGTTTCTTTTTAAGGTTAAAGGTACTTTAATTAAACTGAAAAGAAATACCTGATCAGATTTTAACAGCACCATTTCATCTAGGCTTATCTTGGCTACATCCTGTGCTCCAGGCACAGCACCAACTTCAGGCATGCTGGTCTCAGAGGATGAATATGGTAATCCATGTCCATAAATATCCTCTTCATCACTTGAGGCAGATTTTTCAGTCTTACTTTCATGAGTGTCTGCTACCCTTTCAGCAGCGCTAGTACTACATTTAGCTTTGATTGCACTTTCAAAATTCCACCCAGAAATGGAAGAGTTGTCTGAATGAACATTGTCAGAGACATCACACTGGAGTGCAGAAGGGTCTGACAGAGCACTGTGGATTAGAGACAGCTGCTGTTGGTCTTCCTCACCAGTTTCATCACTTTCCTTTGGTGTCAGAGATGTCTGGACACCAAGTATACTGTCACATTCCAAAAATATCTGGTCTGTAAGGTCTGGATCTTCAGAAGATTTTTCAGTATCTTGCAGCTTCATTTTATCCAAGTCTTCATCTATTTTACACAAGGCAGGAAAATCCTGCTGCTCCTCCTCCTCCTGGCTCAGCTTTCCAGGACAGCATTCATTGCTTGTAGAAACCACACCACCATTACATTCACCACCAACACTGCTTGCCAAGTCTTCTGTGAGCATCAGAGGAGATGCAGATGTCAAAGTATCTATAATAGCTGAAGTACCCATGCCACTGTCACTGTTTGGAAGTTTCTGTAAATCAGCCACATCTCCATTCTCTTCATTAATTAGTACATTTGCTGACTCAGGAGACTGCAGGACACTGAAAGTTTCTGAACCGTTATCTTCTTGCAAGATGGTATGGGACTCCATGCTGAACATGCTTTCCTGATCTGGAGATCCAGTACTCAAATGATCAATGCTGCCACTCATTATGCTAGAAGTCATGGAAAAGGAGTCTGCATTCAAGGAATGTGGACTGTCACCAGAAAGCTGACGCTCATAAATTGGTGTGCCTTCCAGAGAGCTGTGGTTTCTCCTTGTGCCACTTTCTGTTATCACACACACACATGAAAAAGAAGGAGAAAAGTAGTATTAATAAAATCTATTAAATCCCAGTGCCAAGCAAGAAATTAAAACATTTTTAGAACTGAAGGAAGAACAAAGCTAAACCTAAATTTTAACCATACTGTATTTTTTTCCAACTTTTAACATTATGATACATATAAAGCCCAAAAATCTTAATACAGTAAACAATTAAAATAAGTGAGTACTCACACTACTTCATCAAACGAAAGAGGATGGCCAAGACACTGCCAAATATTCTGAATAGATTGAATAGTTATTACACAATTCCAACATAAAACTGGACACAGAGTCCACTGTGTGATCCCATTAAAAAATACATTAGAACTCAAAGCATGTTTACATGACAGAAAACAAAAGAAATAAACTCCAAACAGATCTAAAAAGACTTCATCAATTTATCACTTTTAAGGAGATTTTCATCTTAAACAGGAATGACCTACCACAAGCCATCAACCATTTCAGAAGCACAACACCACAGTACACAGAAGCCTGCCCAGCAGAGAGTCTTCCATGTAATGTGCTCTAACAACACGCAGTGTCAGGGAAAGTTCTGCTCCACCTACCCTGTCTCTTCTTTTTTTTCTTTTTCACCTTAATTGGCTTTACAATAAGTTCTTGGTCAAAATCTTCAGAGCTGATGGTGCTGAACCGCTGTGAAGGAAGCTGACCTTCTCTCTGAGCTTCTGGAAGTTGGTCTGCACACATCATGAAGCTCGAGCCACTGTCCACAGAGTTCACAGAGCTGCTCCTGCTTCGTGATTCACTCACTACAGAGCAGCCCCTCTTCCTGGCTTCACTGCTCAAGTCTCCCACTCTGTCAAAGCTTTGCTCTGATAGTGTTGGAGTTTCCAGATCATCTTTCACCAAAGAAGTGCCATTTTTATCACCAGTGAGTGAAGGGGAAGTAACTGGTTTTTTTTCTGTTTCCACTGAAGGGCTGGATGATACAGATGAAACTACTGATGACGGGGTCAGCAATTTAGGGCTCGTATCTGTTAAAGGATTTGACAATTTTGAATTCACATCTGAAATTGTTCAAAAGAAAAATAAAAGCATAAATACTAGCTCAAGTATAAATACTAGCATCAAGTGAGTAGGGGCATAATTTCCGAGAGTATTGAATGAAAAGAGTATTTATGAAAAAAAATTCTAAGCTAACGACATTTAAAAATAAATACCTGTATCAAGCACACACACTGTAAACTCCCTGCAAATTAACCTATAAGAAAGCACTTCTCCCAAGTTCTGTATCAAACTTCTAGTAGTAAAATTCTGAATTGATGTTTATGTGAAAAGAACAGGACAGGTCTGCAGCTTGGAAGATCCAATTCTATCACACACTGAAGTGCCATCCTATATCTTTAACTTATTTATTCAAATATTCAGTAGCTTGAAAAAATCAAGGAAAATTATCAGATAAATTACTGTAATGATTAGCAGAAAAAGCATTTCTAAAGGCTCCTTTCAAACTATACTTGAAAGTTGAGATTAAAATAATAAACAGTCTCCATAAGTTTGTGAGTAAAGAACTGCCTAAATGACTAAAGCTATTGCCAACATGCAATGACAACTAAGTTAAGTTCTCTAGCACTGAAATAGACTTCATAGCACATTTATTAGCATTTTGCTAAAACAAAGCTAAGGTGGAGTATTTAAATGCATTAATAGCCCCTTTCAAAGAGTTCTAGTAACATAAATGTTTAATTCAGATGGCAACAAGTATGAAACAGTCAAATTATTTTTGGAATTTTAGAGAGCATTCTTTGGATTTATTTGCCAATTCTTTCTTTTTCATTGCTAGGAAGGCTGAGATTTCCCCTGGAATGTGGCTGCTGACAGGTGGCACAGAATCAACATATTCAGCTGTTGAGACTGATCCTAAAGAGATAACCATGATCAGGAATCCAGACTGCTTCAGCATCATGGCTCAGAATGAGCTCTCAAATGCACAGATTAGAGATGCCTCATTAGGTTAATGCTGATCCACTCTCAAAAAAAGGCAAGCATATTTAATTTCTTAATGCCCCCATTCTCACTGCAGCCAAAAGAGAAGCTCAGATAAGCAGATAAAGCAGATCTCCAAATATAACTTATGAGAACAGATGAGTAACTCTACAGGACCTGGCAGGTTTTTGTAACTGTCTGAAGGGATTTGTCTGAGGTTTGATGTTTTTCAGTTTTGTTGGTTTTGTTTTTTTGCTATTAAAAAGGACAATAAGCAGCATGTTCCATGAGGTACACACGATTTGATACATACTACTACTAATTTCTACATACTAAGCTTACTAATCTATACAAACCTATTGATGACAGTCCTTCAGGTCTATTTGAAATTCGTATTATGTCTCTATCTCCCTTTAAGAGAAAAATCTCGTTGTTGGTACAGGACACAGACACAATATCACCATATCCTTCCAAACCACCAATCAAAGCCTGTAAAGAGTCAGCAGAGAAAGAAATAATTAGATTAACACAGTGTTTGTACAACATGGTACTCTTAACAAAAGCGTTCCTTGGATTTTAATCAACATAAACAGTACAGGCTAAAGATTTTTACCTTATAAAAAAAAGAAAATAGAAAAAAGAAACAGAAAATAACTTATTAATCATGATGCAGCTCCATTTTTATACTAATTTAAATTCCACAGATCCATTCTTTGTCCAACTAAAGGCAACTAAATATAACAACTTAAGCAATATACAATTTGGTGGCAGAAAAGTGCCACAGTATGAATATTTAACATCATTTAGACAAAAATATACTAGCTTGTATCTGCATTCATATGCATTTTTAAGACAACAAAATAGCTAAAATAACACTTCACTGTATACCAAATAAAAGGTAATACATCTTTTTTAAGACACCAACAGTGGTAGAAGAGAAAGAATAAATTGTTCCAGGCACATTTTATATGCCTGAAATATCTTTCTGCACTAATTCCTAGACTGTAGGTTTCTATATGTTTCACTAAGCATCAGAATTAATTATGATGTTAACACCTTAACTGAAAGCTTTAAATATATGTAATTTTCATAAACAACATACTGAGCTAGTTGGTGAGTATATCATTGCAATGACAACTTGAGAAGGGAGACAATAAACATTCTTTTTTTCTTGCTTTAAATAGGGATTTAAATCACAGCCATAGACTCTATAACCAAAACTGAGTCTCATGGCACAGCATGAACAAAAACATGGAAGAAACAAAATATGCAGCCACAAGATTTATCTACCTGGTTCACAGTGTCCAGTAAATAGATGCTGTATTCGTTCCAGGTCAGCACCCATCCTTCTTGGAAAAAGCATGACACAAGCCCAAGGTGTTTCTCTGGAGAGCTGTAACTTCCTCTGTCAGGTGGTTCTAAACGAGGATACAGTTCAAAAGTTTTTATTCCTCCAGCAAATACATCTTTCAATATGAATGTGGCCTGAACAGTCCCATGAACATCAGACTTCCACAGACGAAGCCCAGGTCTGGCAGCAAATAGTGTCAAGTCACTCTGTTTACACAGGCCAGGGATAAAACATGCTCCAAATTTGCCACTGCTAAAATGCAAAAGAATTTATTTTAAAAGCTATATTCTCAACTTCGAAACAATTTAAAAACTAATGGTACAAATTCACAAATTATCAAAAGTCTTTGATTAAAATATTTAAACATCTGAAATATAAATTTAGTTACAGTAAGACATGAGCAGTAATTCCAAATAAGAAGTTTCCCCTCAGCTTTGCATGTCAGACGCTACATCAACTAAGCAAGTTAAATGACTCCTCCTAATAAGCTTCATAGCCTTAATGCCATTCTATCCATCTCAAAAAGATCCTACTATGCACCTGTCCTTCCCCCAGAATTTATAAAAGACAACCAAAACACTACAAACTAATGCTAAGGAACTGGCAGCCTTTATTTGCAAGAAGCATGGAACAGACCTCAGCTGTTAAACCCTTCCTTTCACATACACAGAAACACCATTACTATCATCCAAGAGAACCCTTCACATGCAAGATGGACCTTGGTATTCCTCTTTCTATTCATACCCCTGAAAGATACATCATAAACCCTCTTTCAAGGGTAGATTTCCCCTCCTTAGAGACAGAGTCAGTCATGCTGTTCTATGACCGGGTTCCCTTTTCCTTACCCGAGAGGGATTACATAAAAGGAGATGTCAAAGCCACACAAGAGGTTCCTAGTCTTCAACTCAAATTTAAGTGCTTACTATACATTCTGCCTGTTAATTCACTTCGGTGTATAAGAAAAACAGGGATGATGACTTGCTTTTTGCATCAAATATTACATCACCCATTAGACAGACTTGATTACAATGCTTGCTCACTGCAAGTCACAGTAAATAAAGAGGGACTGCAGAGGAAGTTCAGCAGTGTTTTCAGTTTAAAAAATGAGAAAAGATCTTAAATATTTTTGCCTAAGAGTGCCTTGAAAATGTGATTGCGACATCCTTGCAACCACATGCTTTCTAAATAGGTGTAATTGTCATTTCACATTCGATCACACACAGCTATTGTAACTAGCTTTTTATGAGCAGACTGCTGTGTTGTATTAATTTTACTGCCTAGATCACTCTGTCTGTAATTCACTTTGAAATGCAAGAATTAATAGATGAGCCTGCATCAAGATTTTATGAGGGTTACTTTTTTCTGGGCTGTGTTCCAACTTGGTTGACGGATTTCTCTTCTGTGTAAAAAAGCAGAGTCCGCTGTAGAGTAGAGACAAGCAGCACCTTCTGGTTGTAATCCAGCTGCACAATCGAAGACGGCTCTTCCAGTACAAGGCTGGAGTTGCAAATACCCTTTCAAAGACACACACAATTCACAAGAATCAAACCTTCCTAAAAATGCAAGGTGGTAACTAATACTTCAAAGACATTTACGAGCCCAAGACAAAAACCAAAACAAACAAAAAGCTTTTTAAATTCCATTGCATGAAATTCACTTAATGAATATGAAATTAATTTATGTAGGGAAGAGGAGTGTTAGATTGTGTGTCACACTCTATGAAATGCAGTTTCTCTTGGAATACTAGCTAATACATTTCTCTTGAAATCAACAGAAACTTTAGGAGCTTTAGGACACATTTTCTTCCTTCTTCCCCACTGCCAGCTGATCCATTGCTGAGATAATCATTACTTTTGGTGATTTCTGTCAAACCAAATTGAGGGACAGTCACAGATAAGTCAGATGTTGTTTAAGCTTTTCTCCCATTTATAAATTCAAGTTATCATTAATTTTGTTGACATTTCAGGTCTGTATTAACTACCAAGATGTGAGAAAAATTCCATTTACTGGTAACATGTCAGTCAGCCAGCAGCACGCAAATGTTACTTTCATTCTACACTCTAGACTGAGATGCTGAACAATTCTGGGAGAAATACTTCACCAACAGAGCTACATTAGACAAAAATACACTTTCCAAACTAGCTGAAAGCTGAAGAAAGGTTTGATAGTTATTTCATTAAAAATGAGAAGGATCACTACTTCTTTTAAAATGCATTACTTTTTTAAAAAGATAAGGTAGTTCTGAAAGATATCCAGTGGTTGCCTTGCTGGGTGTGCACACACTGGGCCAAGTGTACACATACCAATAAAGCCATTCAACTAAACACATAACACTGAGCAATTAACTTACTGCTAAATATTTAAACACACAAGCACCCTTTCAGAAAGTGCAAATGTGAATTAAGGTCCCTATAACAAACACTCACCTGGTCTAGGTCTAGTGCAGAGTAGACAATTTTTCCTTTGTCATCTCCAGAGAATAATTTCATTCCATTAGGACTCCAAGCTAAAGCTGTAATGCTACTTTTGTGGATGCCAGCAACATCAAATCTGCGAAGCTGTGAAACAATAACAAAGCAACAGAAGAATGAGCTGAAGAGCAAACAGATGCACAAAGCCTATTCAGTGACTCCTAACTGGTTTAACTGGAGATCAAGTACAAAAGTGAAGGTCCTTCTAAAGTTTATTTAGCACAGAAACCCCACAGCAACCCAAAACCCCCCTCCACCAAAGAGATCAGCCAACCATTACGCATGAGAAATCTCTCAGAAATATATTTGATTAAATACATCCTTTGTAATGCAAAACATGCTTTAATATTATTGTTTTATAAGCTTAACATACGAAGTCTAAAACATACAGTTTTTTCATCAGGCAAGACTGGCTGGGTTTCCTTCTTACAAAGGATCACAGGATACACTCAACTAGAACTGGCCATACTAGACCTCACAGAGATTTAGGCAAATGAAAATATTTACCTGTTTGTTCCTTCCAGGTAATGAAGACACAAGCTGGAAAACTGCAACCCGACCTGAGGCTGTACCAACAGCAACCAGATCATCAAAACAACTCAAGAGCTTTACGAAAGTTATAGATTCACACCTCCCCTGTTGAAACAAACCACACAAAGAGCTCAGAGTTAATGAGACACCAACTGAGAGCTCAGTTCTGAGCAACTCAGCTTCAGCGGAAGAGACAACAGTAAAAGTCAGTATTTACCTCAAAATTATATTTTTTCATCTGGTTTACATGTCTGCAGTAGAGATAAAGCATTCCAATGCTGCTCCCCACAGCAATGTAGTCTCCATTGGTATCAAGTGCTGTGAGGTAAACCACAATGGAGCGAAAGCCTTTCTGGATCTTTGTAGGAATGGCATTGAGGAGATAATACAAGGGACAAAATTCCTTAAATATAACTGGTGAAGCCACAGATGCCATAGCAAGGATTTGCATCAGCAATTTTAAGGCTGAAATAAACACATCTACATGACCACATAAGGAAATCTGAAAGACAAAAGCAGAAGACATGTCATTATCTTGTGTGGAGAGAGCAAAAGGTTAACATATAGCCAACAATCCAGCAAAAAAGAAGAAAAAAATCTCAGATTTTGCTTTGCATAAAGAAAAAGCACGTTAAATTATTGTAGTGAATGTAACCTATTCTTAAGAGAAACTTTTTCTTACCAAAAAGTGTATTCCTTAAGGTCAGCTAACATATAAGGATATATGGTAACCACTACATATGGGATAACCACTTTTTCTTGCATCTGTAAATTTGTCAAAGTTGAGCTGGAATGCAGTGTTTCTTTTCATCTGCCTAGTGAAAAAACAGGACTCTGATGAGAGTATGACTCTGACACTGAACAATCCATGTGATGTATTTCTTCATCTCTCTGCAGCCTCTAGCCTCAATCCAACCAGTGCCCAAGAGCATGGGATATCACAGGGCTGCAAGATCAAAACAACAGACTAGCATTTGTGCTCCACTCCTTAATGCCCCACAGCCCAAGAAAAAACACAGCTGAGAGGCAGCTCAGCTAGAGCTACATCTGCTATACATTCAAACAGCAACCAAAAAATTAGAATAATGTGGAAAGAAAGGAGTGAGTAAAAACTTTAAAACTCCTATTTTGACAGACACAGGAAAATATCCATGTGGCAACTGAACTGAGAAAGATAAGGAGCAAACAGGAAAAAAGCACCATATGTCCAGGTTTCCTTTTATGGATAAGAAAATAATTTCATGCTTGTGAGAAATACTGTAAATATACTTAGGGGAGGATATCTATGAAAAACAGAAACAAAGACTCTGTTTGCCTTCTCCAAGAAAAACAACCTAGTCAGAGCTCGTCACAGTAATAACATACTGGCACCTTCAGGAAAAGCTGATCAGGAGGAACATAAAAATATGCAAAAAGTTTAATTAAACCCAGTAATTTTTTCATCACTACAGCCTTGACAAGAACATTTAGCAGCAGCAACTGCTGCTTCTCCTCATGGGTGACTTTGAAACATGGAAAAGAAAAGAAGCCTTCACTTCTCAAGTTGTATTTTGCTATGAGCAAGTCCAGGTAACAGAATGTATAGAGTCTTGCAGTTTTCCAACACAAGAATTTTGGGTATCTGTAGACAGGAAAGTTTTTTATGTTTAAGATCTTAACGTTGAAGATTTTCTTTAGATTCAGCAGAGTTAGAACTTCCTTAGAGAAATAAAAAAAAGACATCTGCCAATTGAAGTTAGAAATGCCTCCAAATGCTCACAATTATTTGGTGAAGCACTGTTACTGCAATTTGTAATATCTCCTTATTGTGCCTTGTTTTTAATTCTCTAAGGATGGAAAATGTTTTTTGTTTGGCAGTGTCATACATTGCTTGCAGTGTGTATCAACCAAACTAGAAAAAAAAAAGCTGCTCTAGTTTAATATCTCCATTACTGAAAAGCTCTGGTGCCTCAGTTTTCCAACTCTTTCAGTTATTGTGCAGAGCATTCAGCACATTCTCTTTAGGCCCTGCAAAACTTGCTGTCAACATAAAATTGCACTAAGGCCAAAGGGACTGTTTGCATGACATTGCCCATGCATGTCATAGACAAGACCACAGGAATAAAGACTGGTTATTTGGCTTATATTTTATCTGGTACAAAAACTGCCATAACTACACTAGCACCAATTGTTAAAAGTTCCTAATTGTGGAAAATTTTACTGCTTGCTAGAGTTTAGAAATTAATTCCACTCTCCTCCAATGTTTACAACCTGTCATGATGTATTTCATGAAATATCATAAAGACCAGCTGATACATGTATCCAAACTATTTCTGAATGAAGAGTTCCTTTCAGAGATGTTTACTGAGTTAACAGATAACCTTAGCACATTATGACACTTCCACAATATTTTCACAAACCATCGATTTCCTCTCCTATATTTCAAGTCTCTTACCCCTTCCTTCAGCATTTTCTGCTTTCTATCTACAGTCAACTAAATATAAAAAGAATCCACTGTTAAAGTCTCATTTGCTGTGCTAAATGTGCTGTTTTGCCACTTCAGTAATTTTACTAGTCAATGGTATTTTCTCTTTTCCCTAATAAAATAAAATCCAATCTTTGTCCTGAGTCTCACATTTTCTAATCTTCCCCTGTCTAACCTCAATTTCTACCATTACCCAGCTACTGCCCCATGAATTCCACATATTTTGGTTTTTAAGTCCCCTTTGTGACTCTGGCAATTTACATCTGTAACATCCAAAGCTGCTCTTGTAGCTGGAACCATCATCTCACACTCCTCAGTTACTAGAGGACCTTCCAAGCCCTCAGAATTCATCCTCTTTCTTAGTCTCCACCACTTATTCTTCCAGCTCAACTAAACCATTAAAAATAGAGTAACTGATTACCAGCTACAGAAATATGCAAATTTTTACTATCCAGAAAAAGACTTTTCTTCATTCTTCTACAACAACTCTATCTGGTACCTGATAGATATTTTCGAAGTTTACCTTTAATTTAAAAAAAAAAAAAGGAAAGTTTTATAGAGTTTTTTCTTCCCACCCACAAAAAAACATGGGAGGAATTATTTCTTATCACATACTAAGATAAATTTGAAAACTCTGCTGTTAGGTAAGGGCTTTCACTCTTTGTAAAATTTATATACAATCTGTGATGGCAAAGTATTAAAAAAAAAATAAGATTTTGTTCTCTATAACCCATTCATACAATCAAAAAAGAGGAAAAATTATCAATAAACTATAATTTTTTGACATTGTACACAAATTAGTTTCGTCTTGAGCTGTTTACAGACTAACAAAACACTTCTACTGATTGTGTAAAAACATATAAGTGAAAACTCAAAACATACTTTTATTAAAAATACTACTAATATTAGGTAATTTTACCTACACTGACCAAATGTATAAGGGACTAGAACATCTCCCATATGGCCTATACATTCAAAATATCTGCACAAATACCACAATTCTCTGCTTCTGAGCCTAAAGTCTTTACTATCTCTCTGACAACAGCTGTGTATCACATGTAGTCTGTAACAGCTTTAGGATTAATTGTTATCTGTTTTTCCTACCTCATTAATCAAAGGCAAACAGCGGATATAATCTATTTTCTCAGGCAGATTTTGGAAATGGATGCATGTGTTCAGTCTGTGTCAGCCACGGTTATTCTGAAGTATGTAACAGTCATATAGGGCAAATCAGCTTGTGCTAAGCAGCTGTCCTGCAGAGATAAAGTAGAGAAAAATACCACATCAAAAACAATCAGCAGAGTTCTTCCTTCTCAACTCTCAGACGTCACAAGTTCTTAAATTCTGCATTCAAGGCCATGCTTTGAAAAGTAACTTTTTAAAAAAAATTTTTCTGGTCTTAGAAACAGGAATAAGGCTCAGTGCTGCCTAACAGAGGCAACTGAAGTGAGAGATAATCCTGTGGTTCAGCACAGGGAGCACCCAAAGGTTCAGTGCCAGGATATGCCACAGGAAACTAAAGCTGTCACTGCATCTCTCTGAGCCCAGGGGTCCTGTTTGTACTAGAGGGACAACAGCTCCATTTTTTTTTTAATCTTTGACATTAAAACTTACATTTAAGTTCTTCAGAGCACAAACTCCCGTATGACCACAGCTAAACACAACAGTCTCTGTTCCCAGCTAGATCCTGCCACCTAAAGAGGAAAGCAGTTTTCTTTCCTAATACCTGTCACACATTCAGGCTGCCCCACTGTCACATCTCCAGAGCTTGTCACAGCACAATGCTGCAGAGCAGAGAACACAAACACACACCCTGCCACAGGACCTGTGCTCCACGTGTCCTGCATGCAGGTCATGGTTACCTGATTAACAAATCCTTAATTGGCTTTACACAATTCATTAAATGTTGCATTTTTGGCTTGTGAGAAACAGAGCTCGCTCTCTGAAATTTTAGAAGTCTAATACCAGATAAAAGGGACAATATCCAGTGCTGGGGAGTTTAGCAATATGCCAAAACCACACAATTAGCTTCAAGCAATGTTCTTATATACTGTTACATTACAGGGGATACATAAATACTCCTGAGAGTTTACACGTATTCAAACATTCCTGTGAGTTTACACGTTCTAGGAACTCTTTTGCTTGGTTTTAACTTGTCTGCATGTCATCTTGTAGATTAAATCAATATATTTTATTTCTTCTTGAGGCTCCATTCTGTTGTTTTGACACCAGAGAGTCAGTAGTAAATTTTTTCTGTTGGTGTCCTGGTTCTTGTCACTGTTATCATTCAGACAAGATGATCCACAAATGTGAGAAACGACATAGCTATTTCACACCATTATCTGAGCTAATTACACAAATAAAAGCATTTTAACATGATATAGTTTTTATTTTAATATTATGCTAAGGGCTAAGATACAACATATATTTACCACACTATTATTTATATAAGCTATATGGTACATACATAAACTGACAGGTTGTATTACACCAAAAAAGCAGTTAAAAGGAGAAATTGTATAATATATAATACAAATTGTATACTATATACAATAGTATACAATACAATTGCATACTATATATAATTACAATACAAATGCATACTATATATAATTATTATATCAGAATCTTTGTGATCAATAATAACTTGAAAAATCTAATACATAAATGCAAAAGCCAGTAACTACATTTGTCATTTATACCATGGCTCAAATGATGTTTGTTTTTTTCCTCTGTGACATAATAAGAAATAAATAACAAAACAAAACAAATAATCTAGATGAAGGATGTGGAAAGGGTAGAAAAAGGGAACCTACAATCACTGCACATCCTTATAGAGATGGGAAAATTCAGCTGATGGTCTTGTGACACCCTACAAAACCTTCACAGAATCCTGGAATGGTTTGGGCTAGAAGAGACCCTAAAGACCATTGAGTCCCAACCCTCCTGCCGTGGGCAGAGACACCTTCCACTAGACCAGGCTGCTCTGAGCTCCATCCAAGCTCGCCATGAACACTTCCAAGGATGGAGATTCTCTGTGCAACCTGTTCCAGCGCCTCACTACTGTCACAGTGAAGAATTTATTCCTAATATCTAACATAAACCTGCCCTTCTTTCACTGTTTCACTGTGAAGCCATTCTCCCTTGCCTTAGCCCCCCCATCCTCAAATGGATTTATTGAACATATTCTGTTGAAACACACTCAGATGTTCCAAGGCTCTCCTCCCCAACAGGTGCCTTCTCGCACCTGTGCGGCTGCAGCCCCTGTCAGAGAAGGACAGAGCCAGCGGCTCCCGGCCGGACACCCCCGGGGCTGCCTCGCCTTCCCGCCGGCTTTTCCCCGGCTTATGCCGGATTTACCGCCCAGACACAGAGCCCCGCCAAGGGGACAGCGCCGCAGCCCCTCCGGGTAACGCAGCCGCCGAGCGCCGCCGGAGCCCGGCCCGAGCCCCTCAGCGAGCGCTGCCCGCGCCCCGGGAGCGCCGCCCGCAACAGGCGCCCGCAGGTTAGTGATGCGAGCCCCGAGGCGGCGGAGCGGCGGCGGCCCCGGTGCCTGCGCCGCTCGGGGGCCGGGCTGGGCGGGGCCGGACGTGAGCGAACTTCCGCGGGGCGGCGGGGTCGCCATGGCGGGTGAGTGATGGGGGAGCGCCGGCAGCGAACGTGAGAGTAGCAGGGGACAGCCAGAGGCGGGGTCGTGGCGTTTTCTCGGCAAACTAACGAGGTTTAAAGTGCCCGTGGTGCTCTGCTAGCCCGCCGGGCTGCTGCTGTCACACGCGGTGTGCACCGTGTCTAGCACCTCCGTCATGCTCCGGGTGGAACGGGGACCCCCATGTGTTTTACCACGTCTCTGTATAAATATCTAAAGGGTGGGTGTCAGGAGAATTGAGCCAGGCTCTTCTCGGTGGTGCCAGCCAGCCGGACAAGAGGCAGTGGGCAGAAGCTGGTGCACAGGAAGTTCTGCCTGAACATGAGGAAGAACTCCAACCCTATGCAGTGACCGAGCCCTGGAACAGATGAGCCGGAGAGGTTGTGGAGTCTCCCTCACTGGAGATGTCCGGATATCCCTGGAGAACCGTCTGGAGGCAATCCTGTGCCATGGCTCTGGGATGGCCGTGCTTGAGTAGGGAGCTTGGACCCACTGGGGCCCCTCCCAGCCTGACCCGTTCTGTGATTTCGTGTGGACTTTACATCTTTGGATGTGATGAACTCTTTTCAGGCATCTCTGTGGGTAGCAGTTGAAGCCAGCAAACGTTCAGGCAGGACATTGGTTTGGCTTTGAGCTGCTGTGGCTGCCAGGGCCTGGCCTGAGGTGCAAAGGTGCTTTGTGTGATCAGAGGAGGTGCAGAGGGTTCTTACAGCTGTCTGCCCTCCAAGGAGACACCATGAAACAAAGGCTTTGTGCTCAGCAGTAAAGCACCCACCACCTTCAGCAGGACTCAGCCTTTCCCCAAACTCTTGCAGCTCGCATGTTGCTGTGAATTAATGCTGACATTCGTGGCATGAGCACTGCATGCACACACAGTAATTGCTGCCATGATTTCTCTCTGTCATACTGCATTAGCATCTGTCATTTGATATCAGAAGACTGCTAGATCTGCCAGCACTACAAAGCCACTGCTGTCCATGCTGCAACTGCACATCCCAGAATGTGCTGGCACTTGTTTAATTATACGGTTTTCTTGCAGATAGCAAGAGATGAGGAATTAGATTTCATGACCAAAGACAGTTAATGTAAATTCCATTTTACTTTAATCAATATTTACCAGTAAAGCAAGGAAATCTTCACATAAATAGCTGCTGAACACTGATTTGTTTCTGTATGCTTTAAATGGCTTCAAAATCTTTATTTTCTCATACAGCAAAAAGTCCTCCTGATAGTACTCCAAGAAGGCCTGTTTTATCTGTCAGTGCAAGAAAAATTAAAGATAATGCAGCAGACTGGCATAATTTAATGATGAAATGGGAGAGACTGAATGATAATGGATTTACTACAGCAAACAAAATAGTCAACATGAGGATCAGTGAGCAGTAAGTATGCTAATACACACAAATAAACATAGCATAAAGATTGCTTTTATTGAGAGATTAATCTGCTTTCTTCACTAGAAAGTTCTGTTGGGAGATGGGAAAAGAACATGTCACAGTGGATAAGCTAGCTTTTAGATCAAACTCAGCAGTTTCAATTTTTGGATTACATAAACTATTTACATTCAAATAATGTCTCATACAGTAATGTTATTTGCAAGAAATGGGAAATTATTATTTTACATAGTAAAATGTAACATGTTTTAAATATTTACATAATGTGCCAAGTTAAAATCTAATTTTATAAATTTCAGCCCATGTGAGTTCCCTTACTCTCTTGCATGTTTTACAGTGAGGCATAAAAAACCTAAGTCAAAAGTTCAGAAGATTTTAAGGAAGAATCAGTGATTTGTACAGACAAAAAGTTTTAATGGTGATGGCTTAAAACCAACAAATAATCAACAAAAATACCACACCACAACCACCATTAAAAAAACCCCCACAGAAAAACTGAAAAAAAAAAAAAAAACCACTTTGGTAGAGCTTTTATTTTCATGCTGTAATGAAAAGCCTTAACTAACAGGGCTGTGAGCAGCTTCTCCAGATTCCTGACAGCTGAAGAGGGTTTGTCTGACAGGGTTCTGACAGGTACAAGCTGAGGAATATTTTGCTGTAATGGTGCCAGATGTTGTTTTGCTCTTTAGCAGCTCTCTCTCTCCAGTCTGAGTTTACAGCTGGTGTGGGAAAGTCTGCCAGACAGGGCAGGTGTCTGCACATTGGCTGCTCTGGGGTCACAGGTAAATGTCTTGGCTTAAATTTGCACAAAGGTGAGTTTGTGGTGGGGCACCAGATTGTCCTGTGGAGCAGCTGAAGCCTGGCATATCTTGTAGGTGATGAGAGAACAACCTCCAGCACAGGGGCAAGGTAAGAGGGAAAAAGTGTTATCTTAACACCTGCCAATGTTTTTTCAAGCACACATTCTAAGGTAGAGTAGTTTTGTTTTTCTCTGAAGATTGTGGTACTGGCCCCATTTGCCCACATGGCCAGCTATGCTTTTTGCTATTTTTATGTTGGAATTCTTGTGAACAGCCTGTGAGTGAGAGATTTTGTAGGATCAGACCACAAGGATTTTAAATCTGCACTGCTCAAGTAAACCTATATGTAGTTGTTTACACTGCCTCATGTTTCTATTTTAGATTTCAAGACAACAAACTGGAGATAGTATGTGATAACAGTGCCACAGAACCTGAAAAGCCAACCCCAAAATACAATGAAGAGCTGGACAATTGCTGTGCAGAATTACTTGAGACCTTAAAGCAAATGGTAATACTAATTTTTCAGACTTAGTCAATATTAATCAATTCCAAGTGAGCTCAAGTAACAAGGAAATGTCCTGAAGTATTTATTGTAGGCAGAAAATTGGGATTTTCATTCATAGCTCTTTGGCTTCAAATCTCAATAACTATAAATCCAGATTGAAATTTACCAATCAACCAAATAAATGGTGCAAAGTTGTTTTTACATCTTCCGTTGTCTTGCAGTTCTACTCCCCCCTTTATAAAGGGTTGTGGAAACAAATTGTACAAAGAATGCATTCCAAAGCTGCACCTGTTTTCTGTTTCTCATCCTGGATATTCCCTCTGTTTAGAACAAAAGAAACAGCAAAGCATAAAGCAGTGCTCTACCTGCCATCACATCCTTGCAGCTGTCTTTGATCAGACATAATGCAATCATTGCTGTGCAGATCTCCTTCTCTGGAGAGTGGAGTAAGATAATTATGTAACCCAACATTTTTTCTGGATACCTTGCTAGGAATTAATGTCACCTGTCAGTTTGACAGGAAGCAAACAATTTTTTTCTGCCAGATACTGTAATTTAAAATTCATATTAAAAATAACTTTTACAGCCTTTTGCCAAAGTGGAGGCCCATTAAAAGATCTATTTTTTTATATAGACAGGACACAGACCTCCAGTATTTAGAAAAAGCAGGAAACTGGCTAGATTTCCCTCCAATTTTTTTTCTGTGGGGAAAATGTTTGGGGATTTTTTTTTACTTGATGTACTGTTGTGTTCAGACTACAAATGCATTGATAAAGTTTTTGCTCTTCCTGAGGAACAGGAGTCTAAGCACTCAGTGTTAGATTGGATACTAAACATAGCCACTATGACCTAATTTATTTTTCATTCCTTATGAGCTTACAGGTTCATAGATGTATCTGTGGTTTAGCTGCTTGATGTAAAGATACTGCCTGCAAGCTCATTTTGGTGTAAATATTCATACCCAAATGCACAAAGTCGTATGAACATGAAGGAGGTGGATGGAATGACCTATTTTTTGAAGAAAGTTGTTAGATCACCCTAGATATATTGTCAGTAGTAGCTTGAGCTGCTTTTCTCACCTGCTGCTGATCTTTTGAAATTAAAAGTCATCTTGATATGGTAATGTACAAAAAGATCTTGACAGGGCTTGTGCTATACCAGTGTGATGTTTTTCCCCAGTGTTAAATTAGCCTCCTACAGGTAGCCTCTGTGTTGCTGAGGTGAAAAAATGAGAGGGCTTTAGTATATTTCTATATGTGGGAAACAAATGAATGTCCAAAGCAGAGTCATATCTGCAGTGTTCAGAATTTCCAGGTATCTCATATTAAGTCTGTATATAGATTCCAGTTTTGATTCCTGTCTGGAGTTTAAAAAATGTGAGTTAGAAATGTCAGTATTAAACAGCCTTCATAAATAGTGTGTTTGCAAAAAAATGCTTGATATTCAGTAACATTCTATGTTCATCATTTTAAGACAAAAATACAACTGAAAATGGAAAAGCTTACTTCAACTACTAAAGCAATCTGTGACTTGGAAACATTCCACCATGGAGCTGGGAATTGCAAGGCTCCCTTCTTTCATACATGGCCCACACCGTACTTCTGTAAGTAAAATATTGATTATCTTAGCTAATTACATTGTGTCATCAGTGTCATCTAATTTATGACTGAAAAATAAGCCCTCTTATCTGGATGTCTTGCTTGAGAGGGAGAGAGTGCTGTCTCCTTTACAATTGACTAATCAATAAACACATGAATGCATCACTTGGTTTAGGGTTACTGCTGATGACTGCCAAGCATTGTCTGACATGCAACAATTACAGCATAGAACTAAATTTGTCAGCAGCTTACAGTGTCCATGCTGCAACAGCCATGTTCTCTGCAGGAAGAGATGAATTTGCAGCTTGCTGGTGTTAAGCTGCAGGCTTAACTACTTGACTTGTTACTTGACATTGAAATTAAATCCTTGAATGCAAAGAGCAAGCTATACCTCAGTTAATTCTCAAGCAGCCAAAGAAAAATACCTCTGATCTCAGTGTCAATCAAGTGAAGTAAAGAAATGTTACCCTCTACTGTTAATATTAATTCTTTTAGCATTCACTTGATGGCAAAAGGTACTGCCTCCTAGCTGGTATTACCCCAATTTAAAAACTGTCTGAATTCAAGAGAAGCCTGATTGCATGGAAACCAGCTGCCTGCTTTGTGAAAATCATACCTCTGTGAAGCTCTACCTCTTAATTCACTGCCACGGTTTAGCAGGAATCTTAATGTATTAGTTTCTGCCAGCCTCAAAGAATAAGAATGACAAAGACAACTGCTGTCAAAACACCCATTGTGACTGAATCATTTAGTGATGCTGTCTACTCCATGAAAGACTAAATCCTTCTGAAGGCAGTGATAGTTCAGGCTAAGTTAGAAGCACAAGATAAGTCTCTCTTTAAAAATACTTTGTGTGGTTATTTTTTAGTAATTCAAACAATGAAAGATTACAGATGCATTTTAACCCCCCCTGCCAGGTTTACTAACATAATTAGTAGCAGTTTTTATGATAAATGCTTTGGTTTTGGTCTGTTGGGGTTTTTTTTTACTGTTGTTTTTCACTATTGGTATTACTTACTGGTGATCATGCATTGCTGAAGTGCTTCACAGCATGTGAGGGCATCCTTAAGATTAGCTAAAATCAAGAGCAACTCTTAAAATGTGAAGCTTGTATTGTAGGATAGCATTACCAAATTTTAAAAATCAAATTTCAGTTATTTGAGGAATAGCTGTAGCTGATAATTTTATAGTGGGTCCTGAGACCAATACCATTGCTTATTCTAGAATTAAATGTGGACTCATGTCAAAATCAGCAGTGTGTAAAATACATCCCAAAGCTGAGGAAATTGTTTAGTATTTTATGTTCTAATGTAAAAACATCATTCATGCTGTAAAAAAAAGATGGCTAAATTGGGGAATAGCTTATGTAAGGTAGGGGTTTTTTATGATCCATGTATTACAAGTATAATTTAGCTTTTAGAGAATTGCTGAAATGTTCTGGTCAATGTGCTTGGTTTTTCAATCCTTTTCAGATGAGGTTTCTCTGAAGCTGTCTGAAATGTACAAGAAGGAACTACAACTCAAGCAAACAATTGTACAAGACATTGCTCATTCTGCTGACCAGGATCTGATGATGGTGTATTTATCCTCGTGGCTGTACCAGCCTTACATTGAGAACAGCAGCATGCTGCTGCTCGAAGCCATGCTGCTGGAAACAGGACACAGGCAGTGCTAGAACTCCAAAGGTTACATGGCTGGCTTCTGGTGATGCTTTTATATGAAACTGAACTGGCATATTGCAAGGCTTACCAAGTAAGTTGATTTTTTTGTAAAACTTATTAAAAATATTTTTCTCTTCATATTCCTTACTTTGTCTCATCTGATACTCCTTTTTCTGCATGGGACAATCTAGTTTTGATTGTTTTTATCTATTGTAAGGGCAACACAGAGGCTACAGGTAGGATGCTAAGTCCTCTATAGTCAGAAAGAGGTGAGCACTGCTTGGTAGTCTGGGGGATTAAATGCAAAAAGAATACACAGCAAAAAATGTAACTTCCAAGTCTAGAAAGCCTAAAATACCTACACAGTCTCTTTTGCCACAGAAATTCAGCACTTCTTGATCTTCCATGGTTTTTGGGGTTTTTTTGCATGAATTAATAGGGCAAATGTTTTTGTACTTAATTTATAATTGGAAGAAAGAAAACCACAAAAAGAATCCAAAAGGATCCACATAGTTTGGTATGTGATTTTGAAATGCTGCTGCAGACAATAGTGTAAGTTCTGCTTTGGTTTGGATTCTGGTGTTGCTGGGTACATCACCCTCAATGAGTGATCCAAGCCTGAACCAGCACCCAGGGAAGGTTTAGTAGAACTCAGCATTCTACAATCATTACATAATAAGGTCTTGTCCCTTTTAATTAATTTTAACTTTTTTTTTTAAGAGATGTTCAATGAAAGCAGCTGTGAATAAAACAAAACCTGCTTTAGTCAAGGCTGTATCCCATCTTGTCTGCTCCCTGTAATAGGGCTCAGTGAGTTTTTCCTTAGACTATTGGTACTCATGTCAAGTGGTTTTGGATTGAAAGTGTGTCCATCCCTCTGTACTGATAGCAAAAGCAAAGTCACTTACCTAATTAGCCCCAAGCTGAAACCTTGGGGTTAGTAAGGGAAATACATGAGTTTCCTGCAGTAACAGGACAGACAGACATGAATTGAGAAGTTTTCTTGAAAAATTGTTTGGTTGAACAATGAGGTTGTTTCTGGCAGCTAATAAGAGTTCTATTCTTAGCCCACAATTCCAGCATCTAAAAAGAAATTCTGCTGTAGCTCAATGAGGATAAAGTTAGGAACAGCTTTGTTGGGTTTTGTTATTTTTTCAGTGGAAGTGTTCCACTTAGTTTAATAGCCACCTTAATTCATCTGAGTTGGGCCAGACCTGTGTCACTATGGAAACATCTCAGTACTTCAAAAATATTTTCCAAGGAGAAAAGATTGATTCACATATAGAACTGTTCTTTTAAGATGAGAGTAGGTGTATTATATTTCCCAGCATGTGCAAATTGATGGGGAAGGCAAAATTGAAGCAAGTTTTCATTTTCTCCACAGGTGGAAATTGTGGTTTGTTCTCATTTCTTAAGAGGCAAAAAAGGCTCTTCAGGAAGGGCTCTTCATATTCACAGACCCTCTTGCTTATTGACTGGTGTTGGGCATTGGAAGATTACTGCAAAATCATTGCAGAGATGTTTTGTCATTCTAGCTCTAAGCAGTTGATTGTTATATTTGTAGCCCTCAAATACAATTATCAGACAGTCAGTACAAAAGAGTATCATAAAGAATTGCTCACTGCAGTGAAAGACTTTGAAAGAGCAGGAGGACTTTGCTTTGTATGCTGCCTTCACTTACAAGGTAGGTCTCTATCCTCTGGCAATTACCACCTCCTAGAAAAAGAGGGGAAAAACCCAAAACAAATAGTAACTCATTAATAACTCATTAATGTACAGTATCTTTCACAACTACTCATAAAAGGCAACATTTTGGATAATCAAATGCATCTTCTACTTATGCAACCATGAAAAAAACCCACCAAACAAAAAAGCCTAACCCAACTATGTGTAAAGGAACATAGAGCAGTTTATTTGATCTGTAAATTGTCTTCTGTTTAGATTCAATTTTAGTGTTTTTCTTAGTGGTAACAATACCATGGGAAAAAAATCACTGCTCATATTCAATTTAAGAGCAACTCTCCTGTCCTTGGCAGATTTGTCTGACTGTCCCAGTAGTTGCATCTATGCAGCAATGAGGTGACACACACATTTTAAGGATATGTTGCCACTTTTCAGTCGTGTCTGCTCATTTAATGCTGTTCTTTTTCACATGCTACACTTCTTGAAAGAAAAGACAGTGCCCTGGACAAGATGCTGGTAGGAGGTCTCCACAAAAATATAATCTGATCCAAGGATCATACTGAAAGTATGACAAAAATTCAAGTAATTTGCCAAGTTTTCTCCCTGCCTAGAGCAACAGTCTCTTTGTATTATGATTAAACAGTACAAGGTAGCATGGAGTTACTGGAAAGGTTGAAGTGTGGAACTCATAAAGGATGCATCATCTGAAAGGGGAAAAAAAGTGTAATACCACTCTAACAAAAATAGGCCATGACAGACTAAAGCAAAAAAAAGGAATCTGGTACCTCGTTAAGGAAAATTAGATCACTACTTATGCACCTTCCCATTTATGTCTACACAACAGCAATTTTTAAAGGTGTGGCTGAACATTAGACAAGCAACTTAAATACATTTCCAGCTGTTCAGTACAGATCAGATCTTGTTTGAGGCTATTTTTGTCTCAACTCAGTGAATGCTTTTTTCAGTAAGGATCAGCTAGGCTGTCACATTGTTCCCAGAAAGCACAAGTTTATGGATTATACTTAAAGCTGCTCATTTTTCCAGGCAGATTTATGTGCATCAAGTCTAAATGCTAATGAATATTCAAGATAGCTTTTAAAAACACAATAACAGTGTTTTGTACTCTCAGTGGCACAGAAAATGCACATTTTTAATATAGCTTTTATTTTACCCATATACAGCTTGCCAGTACACAGCACATCACTGCTGAACAGCAGTACAACTTACTGCATTTTTAGATGGCTAGAGAGAAAAGGAATTATGTAACAAAAGGGAACAGTGCAAGTTTTAGGGTTGACAAGATTTTCACTTTCCACCCATCCCCAACATATAAAGCAAATAGAACAATGTTAATTCTAGAATTTTTGGTTGCAATGCTGCTAAATTTATATAAACATAAGTTATAAAAAGTACAGGGCATAGAAACAGTTTACAAATAAGTTAAATTTCAATTATCTCAGTATTCACATTAGAAAAATATACATTTTATAATCAGTCTTTTCCAGAAGAAAGCTTATAGGGTTTTCTAATTTATGGCTCCAATTCACTTTGCGAGAGCAAAATATCTTCACTTTGGCCACCTGCTTCCATTGCCAGAAGGGCTTCCACTGTTTCCAGAGGAATCCCTTCGGGTGTGCGAATGTGCATTGTTGTACCGTTGGAATCGGTCACAATGACGATGCCTTCTGCCTGAGACAACACAGCAGTGTCTGGGTGAGACAAGATAAGCCCATCTGAAGTCTGAATAAAAATCTGTTCGTGTCCCTGAGACAAAAAATCATGGCTCTCATCAGAAATCTCAAAAGCTACAGTTTCATCTACAGTAACTGTATTTGCCAGTTTGTGTGCTTCCTCTGTCCCACAAGAATATTCACTCTGGTTTTTGAAAGCATTTTCCTGGTTCCCATGAGTGGACAGGGAGGCTCCCTGGACAGCGTTCTGGTGCGACTCAGCCTGAGCATTCTGGGGGTAGTTTATTGGCACAACGTTTGTTGAAAAAACTTTCTCAAGCTCCTGTATCTCATCAGCCATATCAGCATTACGGAGTTGCTCAGAGCGTTCTTTAATGGCAAAATTCGGGTTTTCTTCTTGCAGTTGATGGTATTTTGGAGTGTGACCATTGTCTTCACTCGTTGGCAGGGCAGTGCTCTGCCTGGCCGCTGCCTGCTCCGTCAGGGAGCTGTGGAGCTCAGGAGCTGCCGGGCCCCGCGCCGCGCTCCCGCTGACCGAGCGCGCCTGAAGCAGCCCGGCCGAGCCGCCGGCTCCCACAGGCAGCACCACCTCAGTGTGCAGCACAGAGGCTTCAGCTGCCACGGCTGCTGCCTGTGTCCCTGCAGGCTGGGGGTATTCTATCCTCATCTCCACAGTTTGGGAGAAGGTACCTGAATTTTCACCATCGATTCGAACTCCTGAATCAGCAAGTGAATTGTGTTCCTCTGCTGTCTGTAATGTACTTCCAGTTGGACAGCAAGTGATATGCCTGTCTTCTGAAAGCAGGATTTCTCCATTTAATGGATTAAAACCTGAAAAGGGGAAAGAAGTATTATTTTGTTGGGCAATCTAATATTGCATGCCAAAAAACCTATATTTCAGCAATAATTTTGGAGGAAAAGCTTGACTATTTCCCTGCTTTGCTTCTCCCAAATTAGCAAACCTGAAACACCTTACAGGAGTTTCACAGAACTTCCCAATGAGAAATTCACTATAACAATATTTAAGGAATTTTTGAATGGTGATAGTTTATCAAGTATTTCTATGTTGAGAAACCTTACATTTAGAGGCAGCATTTTTCTGTTCATCCTGAAAAGAACCTGGGCTGAAAAGCAAACTCATTTTTCTTCCATCTGTCATGCAGCCAGTAACATTAAAAGACAAAGACTTTACCAGGCACAAGCTTGTCAGCTGCTCATCCTCATCACTTTTAGTAAGTTGATGGAAGCATTTAAACTTCTGTTTAAATTTCTATGCCTAATCAAGTTCATCCTGGACTCAGACATGTCATCAGGTTACTACATATTAATTAACTGTGCTAAGAGCCCCAGCAGCACTTTTGTCCTGTGCCAGAAAAGGTCAAAACCACAATAAATGCAATGTTCTACCAGTTACTTGACCTGGACCTGACCAGGGTCCCAAACCCTGAAAGTAGCTGGACAATAACTACTAAGCTGCAGTAGTATGAGCTGTCAGTCTTTATCATTAAAGGTCAAAAGGAACAAGTAAGTTGGTTTGGTTTTGGATTTTTTTGTTATGAAAGATACCACAGCACAAAAAAGGAGACTTAACACTGCAGAGGGGACTATTTTTAACATTTTGCACTGTAGACTAGCAAACACCCTACTAGCAGGTGCAAGAAAAATGTAATTTTAAAAACTCCTAGACCATAAGAAAATCATAGTGCAGCAAGAAGTAAGCATGGTCATGCAGAGAGCCTTTCAGAGAAAGAAAATCTAACAGAGGGAAACAAAACCATTGACTGAAAGGCGTACAAAGGGCAAAAGCACAGCAACACCAAAACGAGGTATTTACAAAGTGAATGGTACTGAGGGACATATCTTACTAGAGATTTACTTTCCTTTCACTGTTGCCCTGCTCATCTGAAGTGCAGGAGGATGAAACATGAAGAAGGAATAAAAAGAAAGGTAACCACCTGAAGAGACTGTGATGCAAAATGGTGCCTCAGTTCCAATACAAGATGTATTCCAATGATTGATACAGGACAGCCTACACAGCTCTCCCTTTCCCCCAGGTGCCACAAAGCTCTGGTCATTCTGCTGCTGTAGCTGGCTGGGGCCAAGAGGAAGGATGTGCACTGTGCTTCCTCTGCTCTCCCACAGCTGACACAAAGGTCATGCACTCAGAGGGACAGGACAGACAGGAAGGACACAGCAGAGGACACTACTATGTTCATAAGTATCATCACTGATTATCATGCATCCAGGACTGATCTACTGCTGTCTGCATCCTCTGTAACTTTTCCCTCCTCATGAGGCCTTTCCAGTTAAACAGCTGCTTTTGAAGGACCTGGGAAGCAAGTTAAGCAATGAAACTGTAAGACAAAAACCACAGTAGCTTGAAGAACAAAGATTTGCTCAGCTCCTCCATGAACAGAACAGAACTGGAAAATCTGAAGAGGTTACCATCTTTTTCAAACAGTGTACACAAATTCCCACTCTTTTCTTTCACTTCATCTTGACTGGCATAAGTGTTCACATTTTCTGTTACATCTTCTAACTTGGTCCTTTTGGCTGGTGGCAACAGTTCTTCCCCTGAGCTCTGTCAATACAAGAGATGATTAACTGCAGCCTGTAACATCTGACAATACTGGAAAAGATAAGTGTGGGAACATCATGGCAGTGAACTGATGATCCCTGAAAACAGGATTTACACTAAAGGTGTTAAGAGGTAAGGATTTAAACACAGCCCCCACACTACGGCAAAACTCCAAGGGGACAAAACACAGCTCTCTGCTACAGCTATAAACAGACTGAAGCTCATCAACTGACTCATCAGAAAGAAACTGTTTTCATGCCCTTCTATCCACCACCAATTAGCACAGCAATCACTTCTCTAATGTCTGAACCTGCTGTAGGTTAGGCTATTTCCTCTAACACAGGCTGGAATCTGTGGAGACCCAGCTACCAGCACCTCAGTTAAGTTCTTTTGTCCCTGTATCAAGACCTGTAAGTCTTTGATACTCTGTCCTGAATGCTACCAAGTGTCTTCCCAAAGCACATACTTGGTATGCTAGTTCACGTGCCCTGCTATGATACCACAGCAGAGAGTACTTTCAGTATTTCTGAACACCACAAAAGCCTTACTTGAACCTGACTCAGATAATACCAGCATGATTTTGTCAGGAATAATTACGTATTTTTAAGTTTTAATTTGCCTTAGTTTCACTGTTGATTTTCACAAAGGTGTTCCATACCTCAGCTAACCGTTTTTGTCCCAGTACGTCCACAGGCACTTGCTCACTGACCATTTTAATTACACACTGTGAATAAGAATCTGCACCTTGCATCTTCTGTTCTCCACCAAGTATTTCTGTGATCCCTAGAGATTCA